TCGCAAATGCACTAATACGGCTACAATCACCTCTCAACCCTCTGAAACTTTTGCTAGATGGCTTGTTCTATTAAAGGAAGTTGGAAAACAGACTTACTGGCTGGAACACCAGGTGAACATAAAAGTAAAAACCCTAAAAAAGAAAACTAATGCAGCCAACACATCTAAAGTTTCTAATTTTTTTTCCTCTTTCTGAGCCTGCAGTGCGCAAAAACAAAACACCAAATTGAACCAAAAAAGTGCATGTGACTATACATACAAAAATGGCTCTACAGTGTGTCTATGGACCCCTTCCTGGCCCCTGGGGCACAAGACTGCTGATGGGGGCAAGGTATATTCAGGTCTACCTAAACAAACGTCCCAATGAAATATGCTTCTCGTGATCAGCTGAAGCCATCCAGCACGTACTGCGTGGGGGGCAGGAAAGGAAGGAACATGATGGCCTTAAAACCTCCCCCAAGCCTTCAGGGTAAGCCTGAAGACCCCACACCCTACCATCCATGGGTAAAGGGAAAAAAGGACACATATGTAGAATGCAGTGAAACACACGTGGAGAGTGTATAAATATAAAATAAATACTGTACGTGCCAATGTGTGCACAATGACGAGGTCCTGAGGCCTGGTAACAAAAGTACCCATGTCTAAGCCAAAAGGCCTAGCCCATGAGTCCATGAACAGAAAAAAAATCAAGAGGTGTTGTGGCCAAGTGCTCATTCTCACAGTGGGGTCCCAAACCCACAATGATACAAAGTCCACCCCTTGACCAGCACACCCAGGGAGCACCTAATACTGCGGGACTTCTACCTCTCTAACCCCTGGCCAGACAAGGCCGCACTGTTCAAACCAGGAGGAACACTAGGAATGTACTACCAACCCCCACCTTACATGGTTGGCACTTGATTCAGACTCCTTCCCATGAGGGACATCCATTAGGACGCCCATCATACCACTGGGCACATGATTCAGTTAGCCATCCGAGCCTGAAGGCCAGAATGGCAGTTTTTTGACCCGGATGCCATGGCACCTTGGGGTGCCGACAGAAATCGCCATAGGTCCGCGGCTGTCACACGAGACCGAGCTCCCTGATCCCCAGCCGAACTGTAAATCGGCACTGGGAGAGCTTGGTCAGACCAATTACATGTAGGAAAGTGAAAGCAAGGGAGAGCTGTCTTGCGAGTTTGTGCTCTGCTCTCTGCCTCCCCCTACAGTGCAATACCCAGCACTTAGAAGAACATTACTCCTGATTTTTAAGTGTGTGTGTACAAATATGCGTGTTTGTATGCTCATGTATGTACATTACTCAGGATTACTTTTTTCTTTCGAGCTTGTATATAGTGCCAGCAAGGACTGACACTCCTCTGAAAAGCGATCCATGCTCAGATCGCTTTTCAGAAACATCTGACAGGCAGGCAAAGAGGCAATATGTTACCTCCTCATTGCCTTTAACCCCTAAATGCAGCATAACCAAGCAATTCACACAGTTGTGGGGTGGTTGCAGCACAACCACATTCACCAGGGGGTATACTTCCAGTCACAGCCACAGCATGTGTACACCCCCAGATGCTGCTTCTTCAAAAGGGGGAACACTTGAAGATGGTAAAACGCAGCTGAAGAGCAACGTTTTACCACTCTCAAACCTCACATGTGAACAAGCCCTTGGATGACATCTGTGCGGCTGCTTATAGGGCAGCACATTCATTTTAATGGGATACCAAGCAGAAACACAGGAAAAGAATTCCCTCACCCTTTTTTTTTTTTAAATCACGCTGAAAAGGCACCACGTTTGCTACTGCATGGGGGTAACATTAGGAATTTAGCAGACATGCTAAAGAGCAGAGTGTTTGTCTGTGTGTCAGGAACACACATGATTTTGCACACATTCCACAATGCACATTAATGTGGACCAAGCCGTAGACTGGGGTGCCTTAAGGCTGAAAATACTTTTCATGGGCAACCCAACTGGAAAAAGGTTGAAAAACACTGGGATAGAGTAAGGGAGGGTTATAACCCATCAGGTTTTTTTTTTTTTTATATAAGTGTCTCATTGGGGAGATTTCCCTTCACTTCCTGTTCCAAAGCCAAAACAGGAAGTGAGAAGAAAACTCTCCAAAGTGAGGGAATCCCTGATTGTCACCAGAGCTAGTATCCTCATTGGAAGAAACTAAAAACAGTTTAGCCGTCAGGTGTACTTTAAAGTGGTTCTAAAGGCTTCATGCATCCAACACTTACCATAGTAGTTCATTGATTCTTCCTGTCAGTATATCTGCTAGCTTGTACATCCTGTATGGGCAAGCACAAACAAATAATAAATGCACATTTTTTTAGGCATTTATTATTTTTTTTCAAAAGGTGAACTTATCCTTTAAAGGGGTAGTAAACCGCAGGGAAAAAAAATCCCATGCACGGTAATGTCATAATGTGCTAGTATGCATCCCATACTAGCACATTCTGTAGGACTTACCTTAAAACGAAGCCCTGTCACCGCTGCAGAGGCTTCCATCTTCACCCAGTCTTCCTTCCGGGTTGAGAGCGCAGACCACCTGACTGGTCGAGCAGCGATGACATCACTTCCTCACATGCGTGCCTGAGTCCTGGGCCACAGCACAGTACTCTGAAGGTATGGCACAGGTATGCCAAGAGCGAAAGATAGATAAAGAGGGAGAGAAAGATAAAGAGACAAAGATAAAGAGGGAATGAGAGAAATATCAAGAGAGAAATAAAGAGATAAGAGAGGTATAAAAAGGGAGAAATAGAAAGAGAGAGAGATAAAGCGCGAGCGACAAAGAGAGAAAGATAAAGGGAGAGAGAGAGGGTGAGAGGGAGGGACATAAAGAGAGGGAGATAAAGAGAGAGAAACAGATAAAGAGCGAGAGACAGAAAGAGAGAAAGATAAAGGGAGAGAGAGAGATTAGAGCGAGCGAGAGAGGGGGGGGGGAAGAGAAAGAGAAATAATGGGACAGAAAGAGATATAAAGAGAGAAAGAGGGAGGGAGAGAAAGAGATTGGGAGGGAGAAAGATAAAGAGGGAGAGAAAGATGGAGAGAGAGGGGGGGGAGATAAAGAGGGAGGGAGAGAAAAAGAGATCAAGAGAGAGGGGGAAAAGGAGAGATAAAGAGGGAGGGAGCGAAAGATATAAAGAGAGAGAGAGAGAGAGAAAATATATAAAGAGAGAGAGACATAGAGGGGGAGAGAGAGATAGAAAGAGAGATAAAGAGGGAGAGAGTGAGATCAAGGGAGAGAGAAAGTTAGAGATAAAGAGAAAGGGAGAGAAAGATATCGAGAGAGAGATAGAAAGATAGAGGGAGAGGGATAAAGAGGGAGAGGGATAAAGAGGGAGAGGGATAAAGAGGGGGGGGGATAAAGAGATAGAAAGAGAGAGGGAGAGAAAGAGATTGGGAGAAAGATAAAAGAGGGAAAGAAAGATAAAGAGAAAAGGAGAGAGACAGAAATAGAGGGAAATATAAAGAGGGAGAATGAGAGATATAAAGAGAAAGATATAAAGAGAGAGAGAAAGAGGGGGGGAAGATATAGAGAGAGATCAAGAGAGAGAGAAAGAGAAAATGATCAACAGAGAGAGAGATCGAGAGAGAGAGATCAAGAGAGGGAGAGAACAAAAGATAAAGAGGGAGAGAAAGATAGAGAGATAAAGAGAGAGGGAGAGAAAGAGAGATCAAGAGAGAGAGAAAGTTAAAGAGGGAGGGACAAAGATAAAGAGAGAAGTAAAGAGAGAGAGAGAGAGACTAGGCCGATCAGATAGGATCCCCAGTGCAGCTGGTATTTGTAGTCCCCCAGGCTGTATAGATCTGCACACTATAACAATATATAACATCAGTAGATGTAATATGTGTGTGGTACAATTAGAGATCGGTGACGCCAGAGCAGACAGCATCAGTACAGCTGGTACTTGTAGTCCTCCGAGTGTGATCTCCCCAGACTCCATGGAGCAGATCCCATCCTTCCCTCCTTGTCTCCCAATATCCTCCTAGCTGTGCTGTCTCCTGCTGTGTCTGCCTCTCTGTGCTCATACCCCTTCCCCTCCATATACCCACCACTGCCACCCAGCAACTGTCATAGCTGAAGCCAGCCGGTCCCTCTCTCTGCTGCGGATCGCTCACCTGTCACCCGGCTCAGCCCAGGAGCAGGCCTTCTCTGACACCAAGCGCTGCGCTGACCTGGAGTGTAGCAACCAGTGAGTGAGCTCATGCACCTGGTCCCCATCAGTCACCTGTCGGCTGTCTTGTGTGAGTCTTCTTCCGGGGAGCAGCGCCGCCCCACCCCCCGAAAGATGCGGCCCTAGGCAAATCCCTTGTTTACCCCACAGTGGATATGCCCCTGCTAGCACTGCCAGGCGGAAGTGCTAACCATTTACCCACTGTGCTGTCCTTAGGACATGGGAATCCATTCATTTTTCATCAGCCTACTGGAGGATAGAATAAAAATGACCCATCTATGGGTAGCCTTAGGGTGGTCACACACACTCCAATCTGATTGTTCAAACCCAGGTACAATCCCTTGTACAAACCAATCTAATCAGTTTCTATCCAATAGCCCACGTCCTTATATTTAGTAGTTGAGAGAGATTATATAGTGGATGGTCAGTAAAAGACTTTCCATCAACATTGAATACACGTAGGTGATGTACCTGAAGAATCATCCGTCGTAGATACTCCGGAGCACACACCTGCCATTACGCACAGCAGTATCTTGTATTCACTTACTTACCAAGTTACCCCCATGTCGGTCTCTCTATCAGGAGCCTACCAATGACGTAAGTCGCATATTACTAAACGTAATCAATATAAAATGAGAACCTCTAGAAAAAAAATTGTCTGCGAAGCCTGGTGTTAAAATTGGTGATGTGGCCATTTTTGTGAAGCCTCCTACAATGAAGAATACCCATATTTGTCTACTTCAACATGGCGGCGGAAAGGGACGCTTCCGCTCTGACATTTTCATCGTCAGTATTTGCGTTCCACCAAGTTCAGTGAGACTGACCGGAGACAGGACGCATGCGCAGTAGCTGCTTGTTACCACGTGTGGAGAGCTATGCCCAAGCAGCGCAGTTCTCGGGGCTCGGCTCCCCGTCATGTCGCTCTGGCTGACCAGATCCTACAAGATGGGGCGGTCAGAGTCACCAATAGAAGCAAGAAAAGAGGGCAGGGGGACGAGGACTTGCAGGAGGAGAGCTATGTGGATGAGAAGCTGTCACGTAAGATCCTGGAGCAGGCCCGGCTACAGCAGGAGGAACTGGAGGCCGAACATGGACCGGGAAGTCAGGTCACCAAGCAGAAGACAACTGTCCTCGGTATGGCCATGTACTACTGATCGCCTCTAGTTCTTACCCCATCACACCCTCCTAGTACTCATCCACTTCAGGAAAGGCCCTCTGTGCCTATTTCTTCTCATCTTGGAGGTGGGGGTGCTTAGAGCTTTATAGTGTCAGATCTGCCACCATAATATGTCAGAAGATGGAACAGCTTTAACCCTTTTGCTGCCAGAACCGTTTTTTTGCGCATCATTTTAGGCACGAAGATTACATAAAACCCCCAAAACTTAAATTTCCTGAAAAAAGACACCCTAGAGCAGGGGTATTGAATTAAAATTCACCGAGGTCCGGGCAGTATATTTTTCATCCATCAGAGGTCTGTATCTCATGTAGGCCCCGGTAGGGCATATTCGTGTGCGCTAAACCGTGTGTTGCTGCAGTACGATTTTGAAACAGAGGGTCGGGGACTTCGTGGTTCTCGAAGGTAGTGCAGCCCATTAAAATGAATTGGCTGACCTACCCACGACATGTGCACCACCTGTACAGATCTGAGCCTGTTCCTACATCAGTGTCCTCAATCCTCACTGCACATCACAGTCGTCCTCCTTGTCCACAGCAAGATCCCCTCTTGATGAGTGTCCTCAGCTCCCCGTTTACAGCATTCCCACTCCTTTTGCAGTAGTGCTCTCACACTTCCTTGACATCAACACCCCCCAGTACTGCTACCTTCACTGTCTACTCCACCCCTTTTTACAGCATCCCTCCACATTACTTGTCCTCAGACCCCCCCCCCCCCCCACCCCATGTTTCTGTCCTCAACCTCCACGTTATTGTCCTCAGCCCCCTCACTTTAATATCAGCTGCCCCCACATTACTGTCCTCAACCACCCCACATTACAGTTCTTGCCCCACACACTTTAATGTCCTCAGCCCCCACACACCACAGTCCTTAGTCCCCCCCCACCACTTTAATGCCCTCAGCCCTCCCCACATTTCCGTTCTCAACTCCTCCACTTTAATTTTAATGTCCTCCCCCCACACTGCTGTCCTCAGTCTCCCAACATTACTGTTCTTAGCTCCCCCCACATTCATTCCTCGGCTCCTTTTCACATCAGCTTCCCTTCACACTAATGTTCTTAGCCCCTTTAACTCCGCCCCCCCCACTCCTACCTTATACAGTGATTGATTGCTAAGACTGCCCTTCATCCTAGCCACTAATCACCTGCTTGTTAACCTCAGGCAGCTTCCGCCCTCCATCCAGAACTGTCCTGTGTCGCCCTGTCAGCTCTGTGAGAATGACCGCAAGATGGCTGGAGGAAGAAAAGGCTCCTAAATGGCAGGACTGTATGGGTCTGGATGGGTTAGTAACTCGGTCCACATCCGGACAACGGTCCGCCATTTAGTGATGCCTGCCCTAGAGAATAAAATAGTGGTAGTTGCACTTTGTGCATGAAGCACAATATTACCACAAAGGCCTAGGGAAAGCAAATTTTAGTAAAAAACACGCTAATTTTAGGGTACACAAATGTAATAAATGACCCAATTTTTTGTAAAATATAAAAGCCGAGGTTGTTTCGAGTAAATAGATACCTAACGTATCAAACCTTAAATTGGTGTGTGCCCGTGAAATGGCGATGAACTTCAGTAAGCTATATTTTCTATAGGTCATCAGTTCAGAGAGGTCTGGTGCTAGAATTGATGCCCTTACTTCTGCGCACGTTTACATTAATACGTGCTTATATTTGGGGGGTGGGCTTAAAATTTTAAGGGGAGATTTTATGTGCTTGGGTCAACCTTAAATTTTCTTTTTATCTTAAAGCAGAGTTCCAGTGAAACGGTAAAAAAAAAAAAAAAAAAATAGAAATCAGAAGCTACAAAAACTGTAGCTGCTATTAAAAAAACAGCCACTCACCTGTCCCTCGATCCTGCTGTGTCTACTCGTTTCACCGGCTGTCCAGTGTTCCTGGCATCTTCAGTGTGGGCACCCAGCTGCGACATATTGCGGCTTCACAGCCAGGTGCCCACTGTGCATGTGCATGAAGTGCTGCGCTGTGTGAATGGTGATTGTAATTTTAGCTCTCAGCCCCCTGCTTTTCAGAGCTGATAGATCCTGTGTACATTCGGCACTTTGAATGGATGTAGGGGACAAATTGCTGCAGATATACAGGTACAACTTATGTAGGAGGATTTCTTTTATCTCTGTGTATCATGTAAGGCCAGTTACTTCACTGTATGTAAGGATTTACAACCACTTTAAGTGAAAAACAAATTACCTTGCAGTGGGGCTTTCTTTTGCTGCAAGGGTTAAATGTTCATTTAAGCTGGCCAGTATGCAGGCCATAGACGGGCCGTTTATTGGCCAAATTTTCAGCCGATAAATGAAAAATCGGTCGGCCCCGTTGCCGATGCTGCCCACCAATGTCCACGAAAAATGGCCGTTTTTCATGGATTTTCCAGCATGACCGATAAAAATAAATGAGAAGATCCGCGAAAAACGGACGACGGGCTGGCCCCACTAACGGCGTGAATATCGGCCGATTTTTCGTGCAGATGAAAATTCACCCGATAAATGACCCATCTATGGCCTGCATAACACTCAAGGTGACATGTCCATTGAGCTGCATTGTACTGCACAGCACCGCACATGTATGGGTGTGAACAGGGTACATAGAAAACAATTGTTTTTGATAAAATAGAAGAGTTGGGAACCCTTGTTCAGGGAAAGGAGTAGGAGGCTGGAGATGAGCTTTAAATTTGTGCATTTGTTGGTACCTTAGTCATTCCACTGTTTTTGAAAGAAAAAAACAATCATTTGCTCTCTGAAATCTGAACTTGTTTTCCCTGGTATGTAGATTATAAAAGCAAAGCTGAAAATTCAGACTCGGAGGATGAAGAATGGCCCACCTTGGAGAAGGCTGCGTCTATGGATGCAGCAGCCTACAATGAACATGTGGAGGTGAACCCTGAAGATGAGAAGGCAATTACAATGTTCATGAATAAAAACCCTCCAGTGAGGTGAGAATCCTTAAAAAGATCTGGCAGTCATTTGATTATATACTGTTGAACATGAAATCCTGGGGAAGGTTTATAGTAGCCTGCTTGGTCAAACTTTTGCCACACTGGAGATATTGTACAGTATCATATTTTTTGGTTTGTTATAACCATTTAAGTACACACCTCTCTGTATCCTAAAGGCCGGTTCACACCACAATTTCTTCATTCGGAATGCATTTCTGCATGGGCGTTTCCCCCCCCCCCCCCCCCCCCCCTTTTTTTTTTTTTTTTTTTTTTTTGCTGCATTCCATAGAGAGAAAATCAGGCATGTTCTACATCTGTTAACTGCACTGAAACACAATGCACTTGTGTGAACTAGGGCCATTGGAATACATGGAAAAAACTGTGCATGCAGTTTTGATGCAGATTAAAAACACTGGACTGCATATGGTGTGAACCAGACCTAAGAGTACATAATCTTTGTGGAACAGTACTCAGTTAACGCGATGCTCTAGTTAGCTACCATTTTGGACTTATTTTTGGAAATTTTGAGTCACTGATACAAATGTATCAGTACTTTTGGTTGTTCAAGGTGAGAAACTCAGAAAGTATTGAAACTATTGGATCAGCATGACAGCCAACAGTAGCAAATGAAGACAGACTCCAAAGCGCATAACATGGCCTGACATTTAACAATTGTTTTGATCAGTTTGCACCAAGCCCCATTCCTTTAATGAAGTTGTTTTGTGGCTGATGCATACAGCTGCACCAGCACTTTGTGTTTCAGAAGGAAAAAGCATGCTGTGGTTCTTGTTTCACCATAATGGCAACAACAATGAAGCATGATAATAGCAGTCTAATAAATATTAAAGTTTTTTTAGTATGTGATCTCATAATGGGTATACAGTCAGGTCCATAAATATTGGAACATCGACACAATTCTAACATTTTTTTGGCTCTATACACCACCACAATGGATTTGAAATGAAACGAACAAGATGTGCTTTAACTGCAGACTGTCAGCTTTAATTTGAGGGTATTTACATCCAAATCAGGTGAACGGTGTAGGAATTACAACAGTTTGCATATGTGCCTCCCACTTGTTAAGGAACCAAAAGTAATGGGACAATTGGCTTCTCAGCTGTTCCATGGCCAGGTGTGTGTTTATTCCCTCATTATCCCAATTACAATGAGCAGATAAAAGGTCCAGAGTTCATTTCAAGTGTGCTATTTGCGTTTGGAATCTGTTGCTGTCAACTCTCAAGATATGATCCAAAGAGCTGTCACTATCAGTGAAGCAAATCATTATTAGGCTGAAAAAACAAAACAAACCCATCAGAGTGATAGCAAAAACATTAGGTGTGGCCAAAACAACTGTTTGGAACATTCTTAAAAAGAAGGAACGCATCGGTGAGCTCAGCAACACCAAAAGACCCGGAAGACCACGGAAAACAACTGTGGTGGATGACCGAAGAATTCTTTCCCTGGTGAAGAAAACACCCTTCCCAACAGTTGGCCAGATCAAGAACACTCTCCAGGAAGTAGGTGTATGTGTGTCAAAGTCAACAATCAAGAGAAGACTTCACCAGAGTGAATACAGGGGGTTCACCACAAGATGTAAACCATTGGTGAGCCTCAAAAACAGGAAGGCCAGATTAGAGTTTGCCAAACGACATTTAAAAAAGCCTTCACAGTTCTGGAACAACATCCTATGGACAGATGAGACCAGGATCAACTTGTACCAGAGTGATGGGAAGAGAAGAGTATGGAGAAGGGAATTAACTGCTCATCCTAAGCATACCGCCTCATCAGTGAAGCATAGTGGTGGTAGTGTCATGGCGTGGGCATGTATGGCTGCCAATGGAACTAGTTCTCTTGTATTTATTGCTGATGTGACTGCTGACAAAAGCAGCAGGATGAATTCTGAAGTGTTTCGGGCAAAGTTATCTGCTCATATTCAGCCAAATGCTTCAGAACTCATTGGACGCCGCTTCACAGTGCAGATGGACAATGACCCAAAGCATACTGCAAAAGCAACCAAAGAGTTTTTTAAGGGAAAGAAGTAGAATGTGTACAGAGCCCAAAATGTTAGAATTGTGTCGATGTCCCAATATTTATGGACCTGACTGCATTTGTTGCTGTTTTGTAGACGGACGCTTGCTGACATAATCATGGATAAAATAACGGAGAAGCAAACAGAGGTGGAAACAGTGATGTCAGAGGTTTCTGGAAGACCAATGCCACAGTTGGACCCTCGAGTGCTAGAAGTGTATAAAGGAGTAAAGGAGGTGTGAATTCAAAAAAATTTTAAAGCAAAACTAAATCTTCTCCCCTCCAGTGATGTGATGTCCACGAGCTCCCTGACAGGTGCCATTATCTTCTCAGGCTTTGACCATCTTGATTGGCTGGGCCAGGATGATGTGACTCATGTGCATGAACACAGTAGTTCATCCATCACAGCAATGAAATGTTCTGAGAATGTATTCTAAGCTGCGTACACTGGTACATTCTAAAGCACTTTGCAAAGTAATAATCCTTCCCACTTTTTTACGTTTTTCAATTCAGTGATATGTTGCACTTTAATCATTTGCCACCTGTGGTGGCAAAAGTGTGGGCTTTAATGTGCACACACTACACATGCATCACTGGGCAACCAATGTTTCGGCACAGAGAACATGCTCCCAGCACTGAGACCAAGCTGTCAAATAAAGCTCTTGATGCCCACTAATGATCAGTAGCTGGTGGGACTGGCTCTCCTATCAGGTGACCTGTGTGACAGCCAAGAACAGTCACATGATCACCAATCCTTCCTTCCCCCTTGGCATTCAGAACATTTTAACAGGGATCCTGGGGCAGGTTGGAAAGGGTTAAAGAAAATGATATGAGTTTTGTTGGGGGAACACACCGTTTTAAGATGAAAGATTTACATTTGTGGAATTTGTCTATTTTTAGGTTCTTTCAACCTATCGTAGTGGCAAGCTCCCTAAAGCCTTCAAAATAGTTCCTGCCCTAGCAAATTGGGAACAGATCCTGTACATTACAGAGCCTGAGACCTGGACTGCTGCAGCAATGTATCAGGCCACACGGTATGTGTTTTTGTATAAACAATTTAAGCCAGATTTTTTTTTTTTTTAATTAGTAGTGCGTTATGTTTTGATCTAATGTACTGTTCCTTATGATCCTACCAGCATCTTCTCATCTAACTTGACGGAACGTATGGCACAACGCTTCTACAACCTTGTTCTCCTTCCACGTGTGCGAGATGACATTGCTGAATACAAGCGCCTCAATTTCCATCTTTACATGGCCCTGAAAAAAGCATTGTTTAAGCCTGGTGCCTGGTTTAAAGGTATATTCACAAAGAAGCTTATGTATGAAAGTTGTACTAATAGAGATTTCATGTTTTCTATAGCAACTAATCAGAATTACTGTTTTACTTTTCTAACCTTACTGCAGAAATGATACTTGTAACCTGATTAGTTCCATTAAGATGGATTTTTTTGGCACTTTCATATGTTCGACCCAAATGTTTAGTAACTGTTTTGTGATTATCCATCTAAGTGGAGGGCAGTTTTTTGTTTTTTACTTTATTTTTCAATAAAATATAAAAGCAACAAAATGCTAATGTTGCGCTCTTCACAGACTATTCTTTAAAACCTATACCAAGTATGTTTGCTACTGATTACTATGGACATTTATAAGGAGTGTCTGCGGTCACAAGTCTTACATGGACTTTGATTTGATATTTTTCTGTCATTGTATGTACATAATGCAAAATCTTTTATTTTTCCTATAGGTTGCTTATCATACCATGTGAGAAAAATGACCAAATAAAGCTATTGTTTTTTGTTTGTTTTTTTAGGAATCCTTATACCTCTCTGTGAGTCTGGGACATGCACCTTGAGAGAAGCTGTGATTATTGGAAGTATTCTAACAAAATGCTCCATCCCTGTACTTCACTCCAGGTACCTGCCTGAATTTGCTTACAGATGACTAAAGACAAAATACAATAAAAATAAATCCATATTCATCCTAAACATGTAATAACATGTACATAGTAGCCATTTCAATACCTAATGCACAATACAGGTGAAACTCGAAAAATTAGAATATCGTGCAAAAGTTCATTTATTTCAGTAATGCAACTTAAAAGGTGAAACTAATATATGAGATAGACTCATTACATGCAAAGCAAGATAGTTCAAGCCGTGATTTGTCATAATTGTGATGATTATGGCTTACAGCTCATGAAAACCCCCAAATCCACAATCTCAGAAACTTAGAATATTGTGAAAAGGTGCAATATTCTCGGCTCAAAGTGTCCCACTCTAAGCAGCTAATTAAGCCATAAGACCTGCAAAGGGTTCCTGAGCCTTTAAATGGTCTCTCAGCCTGGTCCAGTAGGAATCACAATCCTGGGAAAGACTGTTGACCTTACAGTTGTGCAGAAAACCATCATTGACACTCTCCATAAGGAGGGAAAGCCTCAAAAGGTAATTGCAAAAGAAGTTGGATGTTCCCAAAGTGCTGTATCAAAGCACATTAATAGAAAGTTACATGGAAGGGAAAAGTGTGGAAGTAAAAGGTGCACAAGCAGCAGGGATGACTGCAGCCTGGAGAGGATTGTTAGGAAATGGCCATTCAAAAGTGTTGGGGACTTTCACAAGGAGTGGACTGAGGCTGGAGTCAGTGCATCAAGAGCCATCACACACAGACGGATCCTGGACATGGGCTTCAAATGTCGTATTCCTTTTGTCAAGCCGCTCCTGAACAACAAACGTCAGAAGCGTCTTACCTGGGCTAAAGAAAAACAGACCTGGTCTGTTGCTCAGTGGTCCAAAGTCCTCTTTTCTGAGCAACTTTTGCATCTCATTTGGAAACCAAGGACCCAGAGTATGGAGGAAGAATGGAGAAGCACACACTGCAAGATGCTTGAAGTCCAGTTTGAAGTTTCCACAGTCTGTGTTGATTTGGGGAGCCATGTCATCTGCTGGTGTTGGGCCACTGTGCTTCATTAAGTCCAGGGTCAACGCAGCCGTCTACCAGGAGATTTTAGAGCACTTCCTGCTTCCTTCCGCATACGAGCTTTATGGGGATGCGGACTTCATTTTCCAGCAGGACTTGGCACCTGCCCACACTGCCAAAAGCACCAAAACCTGGTTCAATGACCGTGGGATTACTGTGCTTGATTGGCCAGCAAACTCGCCTGACCTGGACCCCATAGAGAATCTATGGGGCAGTGCCAAGAGAAAGATGAGAGAAACATGAGACTGAACAATGCAGAAGAGCTGAAGGCCGCTATTGAAGCATCCTGGTCTTCCATAACACCTCAGCACTGCCACAGGCTGATAGCTTCCATGCCATGCCGTATTGAGGCAGTAATTGCTGCAAAAGGGGCCCAAACCAAGTACTGAGTACATATGCATGCTTATACTTTTCAGAGGTCCGATATTGTTCTATGTACAATCCTTGTTTTATTGATTGCATGTAATCTAATTTTCTGAGATTGTGTATTTGGGGTTTTCATGAGCTGTAAGCCATGATCATCATAATTATGAGAAATCAAGGCTTGAACTATCTTGCTTTGCATGTAATGAGTCTATCTCATATATTAGTTTCACCTTTTAAGTTGCATTACTGAAATAAATGAATTTTTGCATGATATTCTAATTTTTCGAGTTTCACCTGTATATAAGCAAGCAACTGATTTTTTTTTTTTTTAGGCATTGTTCACAAGGACTTGAGCTTAAAGTATTTGTTAAGCTTTCAGCAGCTTTATGTCTTTAATGTTGATGTTAAACCTTGATCTTAATGGATGTGCTGAGTCAGATTTAACCTTTCACTGCCATTTTTTGCACACATGGTAAATGCGCATTTTAAAACCTCAATTTTGCTCATAACATTATATATTTTCTAAAACCAAAGACTCTAATAAAATTAATGGCAGATGCAAATTTTGTATGTCACACAATATTCTACTGTTTATCAGATCTATATTTTCAGTAAAACAAAATACAATCAAATTTAATTTTAGTACAGAAACCCTTTATAATATCCAATTTTTTTTTCTGGTAAAATGTAGATGTAATGGCGCATATGTCAACTTCATATGTGTTTGGAGCCTGTCATGCACATTTACATTTGTTCAGCTGCCCACATCAATTTTAAAGAAAAACCCCAGCAGTTGGCAAAAAAAATGAAAAGGAGCTTACAGCTTCTATGCTGATCAGGAGTCTGTTTACATGCCAGTGCTGCTGCTGATGTAACAGTTATGTTGCCAGCAGTGAAAGGGTTAAACGAGCAACTAGGCTCTTTTACAAGCTTCAAGCAGTGCTACAGGCTAGCAGTTTGCCCAAAGTGGCAGTTAGCACTCCTTTTAAGATCTAGGTTTATTCTTACTAAATTAGAGCTGCATTGTGTTTTTAACCTTATTTTTAAATTTTGCAGTCACAACTACTATGGCAGAGCAGCAAGAAAATGTAAACAAGCTCAGGGCCATAGTTGTAATCTTGCCAGCTCTGGACTTTGTAGTGGAAGTGATAGTTATAAAGTTGCTTGATCACTTACAGTGCATCCAGAAAGTATTCACAGCGCTTAACGTTTGCCACATTTTGTTATGTTACAGCCTTATTCCAAAATGGATTAAATTCATTTTTTTCCTTCAATATTCTACAAACAATACCCCATAATGACAACGTGAAAGAAGTTCGTTTTGAAATCTTTGCAATTTATTAAAAATAAAAAAAAACATGTACATAAGTATTCACAGCCTTTGCCATGACACTCAAAATTGAGCTCTGGTGCTATCCTGTTCCCACTGATTATCCTTGAGGTGTTTCCACAACTTGATTGGAGTCCACCTGTGGGAAATTCAGTTGATTGGACATGATTAGGAAAGGCATAAACCTGTCTATATAAGGTCCCACAGTTAACAGTGCATGTCAGAGCACAAACCAAGCCATGAAGTCCAAGGAATTGTCCGTAGACCTCCGAGACTGGATTGTATCAAGGCACAGATCTGGGGAAGTGTACAAAAAAAATTTCTGCAGTATTGAAGGTCCCAATGAGCACAGTGGCCTCCATCATCCGTAAATGGAAGAAGTTTGGAACCAGCAGGAATCTTCCTAGAGCGGGCTGTCCAGCCAAAATGAGCGATCGAGGGAGAAGGGCCTTAGCCAGGGAGGTAACCAACCACCCGATGGTCACTCTGAAAGAGATCCAGCGTTTGTCTGTGGAGAGAGGAGAACCTTTCAGAAGAACAACCATCTCTGCAGCACTTCACCAATCAGGCCTGTATGGTAGAGTGGCCAGACGGAAGCCACTCCTCAGTAAAAGGCAAATGGCAGCTCGCCTGGAGTTTGCCAAAAGGCATTTGAGGGACTCTCAGACCATGAGAAACAAAACTCTCTGGTCTGATGAAACAAAGATTGAACTCTTTTGCCTGAATGCCAAGCGTCATGTCTGGAGGAAACCAGGCACTGTTCACCACCTGGCCAATACCATCCCTACAGTGAAGCATGGTGGTGGCAGCATCCATGCTGTGGGAATGTTTTTCAGGGGCAGGAACTGGGAGAATAGTCAGGATTGAAGGAAAGATGAATGCAGCAATGTACAGAGACATCTTTGATGAAAACCTGTTCCAGAGCACTCTGGACCTTTGACTGCGGTGACGGTTCTTCTTTCAACAGGACATCGACCCTAAGCACACAGCCCACATAACAAAGGAGTGGCTATGGGCCAACTCTGTGAATGTCCTGGAGTAGCCCAGACTTGAACCCGATTGAACATCTCTGGAGAGATCTGAAAATGGCTGTGCACTGACACTCCTCATCCAACCTGATGGAGCTTGAGAGGTACTGCAAAGAAGAATGGGAGAAATTTTCCAAAAATAGGTGTGCCAAGCTTGTAGCATCATACTCAAAACGACCTGAGGCTGTAATTGGTGCTAAAGGTGTTTCAACAAAGTATTACGCAAAGGCTGTGAATACTTATGTACATGTGTTTTTTTTTTTTTTTTTTTTTTAATAAATTGCAAAGATTTCAAAACGAACTTCTGTCACATTGTCATTATAGGGTATTGTTTGGAGAATGTTGAGGAAAAAAATGAATTTAATCCATTTTGGAATAAGGCTGTAACCTAACAAAATGTGGCAAAAGTTAAGCGCTGTGAATACTTTCTGGATGCACTGTATTTGGGGCCACAGAAATGTCTACCCTATGCTCTGAACATTTATGGATGAAAATGAGTGAAGGGGAGGGATCAGATCTCTTTGGTATCACCATAAGTGGAACTGGCCATGCCCTATATATTCTATCATGGTATACAATACGACAGGGGTCTCCAAACCTTTCAAACAAAGGGCCAGTATACGGTCCTTCAGACTTTAGGAGGACCGGATTAGAGCCAGTGAAGATAGAAAAATATCCTGGCCCCAACATCAGTGAGAATAAACATGGCGTCAGGGTTGTTGGTCAGTAAGAGGAGTAGTGCCCCACCAATGGTATTAGTGGAAAGAATAGTACACCATCATTGGTTTCATGGAAAGAAGTACTGCCCCATTGTTGGTCTCAGTGGGAGGAATAGTGCCCTAAGGGCCAGATAAAGGGTAGCAAAGGGCTGACTCTAAAATAATGAGCTGCAAAGGTTTTTAACCGCTTCAAATCTGGACACTTTCACCCCCTTCCAGTTCAGGCCAATTTTCAGCTTTCAGTGCTATCACACTTTGAATGACAATTGCGCAGTCATGCAACACTGTACCCATATGAATTTTTTTAGCATTTTTTTGAGACAGATAAAACTTTGTTTGGGTGGTATTTATTCACCACTGGGATTTTTATTTTTTTTTTGCTATATAAATGAAAAAGTCAAAAATTTTAAAAAAGAAGTGTTTTTCTTATAAATTTTGCAATTAAATAATGTTTCTTCATAAATCTTGGCCAAAATGTATTCATCTATCTTTTTAGTAAAAAAATAAATAACCCAAATTAGTTTATAACCAAAAATTATAATTTTTCAAAAACATTTTTTAAATTTAATTTTTTTTTTTTTTGTTACATACTGTCACCATAGTGACACTGTACTACTTATGGGGGGGGTGATGTTCTTGTTTTCTTTTTTACAATGATTGCTTTTAGACCCTTTAAGGGTGTAAAAGCAATCATTTCTCCTTCTCTCTGGCTGCATTCCTGCGGCCATGGAGCGTTACTGTGAGAGCTGTGATTGGTCATAGCTTGTTACATGGTACAAGGGTGTTGTGAGTAGCCTTGTACCATGTGACCTCTGTGATCATTCACAGTTTTCACAAGTAGTAAGCAATGATGTCGGGAAGTGACATCTTGTTTACTACTACTATTCATGTGATCAATGATTGGCCATCAGTGATCACATGAACCGGGACCTCACACAGAGACCTTCTCCGGACAGTGGGCACTGGTCGCAGTGCCGCGCACTCCCAGGTAGCGCGCACAGGCAATGGATGCGGGGGGACTTTAGAAACGTCTACCCGCATCAGCAGGGCTGATTGCATGCATCCTCAAAATGGTAATTGGTTTGCCAATAACAACTCTTTAATCACTTCCGTCCAGCCTATGTAGATAACCGGCCTGACGGGAAGTGGTTAAAATGCTGTTATTGGCAAACCAATTACCATTTTGAGGATGCATGCAATTTTATAGGCCCCTGAAGAACTGAGATTGAGCTCTGCAGTCACTTTTACAGCAGTTATTTCATTATTTCGGGTCACAATCCTGCACAATGTTCATTTTGTCTCTTTCGGTCAGTTGACCATGTCGACTTGTGCTTATCAGACAACGGTTTCCCAGGAAACTGTATATGCCGTCATAACCTTTGATACTGTACCTCTCGACACAGGAAATAAACTGGCAGCTTCAGTCACAGAGACACTAGCTAAGCAGGGTCCAATAATCTGACCTCTTTGAAGCTCACTAAGCTCTGACATGGCTCCATATTACTAGCATGCAGTGAATGATGAAAGTGAGGCTTCCCCTCTGTTTGCTAGGTGTCTCATTACACAGTGGAAGCAAAAGAATGTTACATCACTTCTGCTTTCAATGCGAAACATGTCACTTTCACACCTGCAAATTATTAGTGTTTCCATTTTTTCTCTAACCCCTGTATGTATTATGCAAGCCATAGACTTGTTTTTTTTTCAGCCGTTTTTTTTTCGTCTGAAAGAATAATCAGCCAATTTTCGCACTGTTTGTGGGGCAATGGCATTGGCCGATTTTTGCGGTTCCTCCTCATTTCTTTTTATCGGTCATGCTGGAAAATTTGCAAGGAACTCCCTATTTTCGCAATCATTGGTGGCAACAGAAGCACCGATGTTTCGTTTTTTCGGACGATAAACGAACAGTCTATGGCCTGCATTAGTTTCTATACTTGAGTATATTAGGAATTTCCAGGCCCCTTCAAGTGTTGAAAGGTATGCAGTAAAACTATATATTGCTAATAATTGCTCTTTAAAGGGAGAATAAAATAGTGATCATATAATGTTTCTCAGTTTGTCCATCTATTCATTAAATAGCCCCTCACCCTGGCAAACCTTGGCTGCTTATCTCCAAATTACTCACATTTTGTCATTGCCTAATCTGACCAAAGTCCTGCATCCAGAAACTCAAATGGTAGAAAAAAAATTACTGATTTTCTGCATTACCTTTTATAGACTTTCACAGACCTTAATAACAAAAGTTTCTTGATGCAGAATTTTGGTCAGGTTGGGCAATAATGTAATGTTTGTGGGACATTGGCAGACAAGCATCCAAGACCATTGGGGGATCACTTTTGTATTCTCTGTTAAGCTGGCGTTGGTGGAGTCTGTCGTGTTTAGGGAAGTGTTGGAGTTCAGATGCAGGCTTGATCCAGCCACTCTGATTTGGTAATGGTGGCCGTTTTTAGACATTTCAGATTTAGGGAAAATAATCTATTATTTGGCACAGAAGACCTGAGTAGTTCTCATTGTATGAGTGCTAGCAGAGTATGTAAGGGATTCCTTGGATTTTGGTGGCAGAGGTTCAGAATTGTAATTGGTTTGTCCTGGCCTGCTGGCGCCAAAACATAATATATGGAAATCTTTTGCAGTATTTACTTAAAATGGTGTTGCTGTCTGAAAATTTGGATGATATACAAGAGCTAGTGAATGGGAGCCCCTGTTGTGTGTGGACTGCAATTTGAGTGACTGTCTGCCATTTATTACAATGAAAAAGTTTATAAGGATACCCCTATCTCAATCATAGCAATTAGGATCTTTCTGACTTTGCTGATATCCATTGCAGTTGTTGTTTCCTTGCTTTGCAATGGAATCCTCAAATGATATAAGGTAATCCTTATAGCAGCTGACATATTTGTGTGGTTCTGGTGTATTGGGGGAATTTTCCCATATCTATCAAATCAGCTTGACTAATTCTTCTGCTGCAGCTATTCTTTTTATGTGTTTTTCTTACAAATTGTCATTGAATGTTTAATTTTCAATTCTTTTACCTCTACTTTACTAGTGCTGCAATGCTGAAGATAGCAGAGATGGAATATAATGGAGCTAACAGTATTTTCTTGAGACTGTTGATTGATAAGAAGTATGCTCTTCCTTTTCGAGTGCTTGATGCCCTTGTGTTCCACTTCCTGGCCTTCCGCTCAGACCGGAGAGAGCTCCCTGTTTTGTGGCATCAAAGTCTACTCACACTTTGTCAGAGGTACAAGGAGGATATGTCATCAGAACAAAAGGAGGCTTTACATGAACTATTGCGAATCCAAAATCACCCTCAAATATCAAATGAAATTCGTCGTGAACTGTTAAACTCTAAATCCAGAGATGTAGAGACCACAACACCCATGGGTATGGACTGAACCTCACTGTGTAGAAGGCATGAATGTATGAGTTGTTAAGAGTGCTCAGAGAAGTCTTTTATTTCGGTCTTTGACGTGTATTTAATCTTCCTACATTTGCCATTTAACCATGTAACTGGTTAGTACTATGTTTTCTTTCATTTTGCTGCTTTAGAAATCCAACATTTTGAAGTTCTGTGTCTTTTGGCTTCTGTCCTTCACAGTAAAGCTAGAGGGAAGCAGATGAGAAAACTGCTTTCATTTTTGTTTTTAATTCTTTAGTTTTGCGCAGTGACCAAGCAGCTGGAAAGTTGGATTGCAAACCGTATACAGTTGCAGGAATTGATTAAAAGAAGTATTAATACTTATTCAAGACTGAGAAAGGATAGAAATGTCAAAATGTAATCTTGTGAGTTTCTTTTTTCCAGTTAAAAAATTCCTGCTTTTTATAAGTCTCTGTATGCATGAAGCCTGTGTTGTGAATTCTTTAGAGAGCAGTAGTATTGTACAGGTTTGCAGTTCACAGATTAAAGATCATGGCAATATGCTAAAAAAAGTGGGCAAATTATTTTTTTTTTATGTTTGAAGATCCTGAATTTTCTGTTGTGTGTAGTTAAAAAGGAACTCCACTTTTGCTGGGCAAAGTTCACCCTCTGGGTGATCAATATACACTCATTGGCTACTTTATTAGGTACATCTGTTCAATTGCTTGGTAACACAAATTGCTAATCAGCCAATCACATAGCAGCAACTCAATGCATTCGAGCATGGAGAAGTGGTGAAGACTACTTGCTGAAGTTCAAACCGAGCATCAGAATGGGAAAGAAAGGGGATTTAAGTGACTTTGAATGTGGCATGGTTGTTGGTGTCAGACGGGCTTTTCTGAGCATTTCACAAACTGATCTGCTGGGATTTTCACGCACAAGAATCTCTAGGGTTTACAGAGAATGGTCCGAAAAAGAGAAACTATCCAGTGAGTGGCAGGCAGTTGTGTGTCCAAAAATGCCTTGTTGATGTCAGAGGAGAATGGGCAGATGGGTTTGAGATGATAGAAAGGCAACAGTAACTCAAACAACTACTCGATACAACCAAGGTATGCAGAATACCATTCCTGAATGCACAACACGTCGAATCTTGAAGCAGATGGGCTACTGCAGCAGAAGACCACACTGGGTGCCACTCCTTTCAGATAAGTACAGGAAATGGAGGCTACAATTCGCACAGGCTCACCAAAACTGGATAATAGAAAATTGGAAAAAATATTGCCTGGTCTGATAAGTCTCTCGATTTCCTCAGAAGTGGTTGTGCATGAAAATCCCAGTAGATCAGCAGTTTTTGAAATACTCAGACCAGCCCGTCTGGCACCAATAACCATGCCACGTTCAAGTCACTCAAATCCCCTTTCTTCCTCATTCTGATGCTCAATTTGAACTTCAAGTCGTCTTCACCACTTCTAGATGCCTAAATGCATGCCAAGTGGTTGGCTGATTTAGTAATTTGTGTTACCAAGTAAGTGAATAGGTGTACGTAATAAAGTGGCTGATGAGTTGCAGATTTTTCCCTTTTGTTGCTCTGAAGAAATAGCTGTTTCACCATGTCCTTTTGGATACTAATTCTGAATGGGAATGTGTGGTTCATTATAATCAGCTGGTGAACTCTCACCAGGAACTTAACTTCGCTTCCTCTGCCATTATAATGGTGCATGAAACTGTCTGGAGTGGATTGCGCTACATTAACGTAGCAGGTTGACCTGTGATAGAGATGGCTTATCAGACAGCTCACGTGCCTCCCTCTGCTTGTGCAGTGATTACACTACACGGGCAGGGCTTGAAGGGTTCGAAATCATCCTCATCCTTCCCGCTCTGAGTGGGAATGGGGGGGAAGGAGAGCAGCAGAGAGATCAGAGCATGCAGCTTCAACTCTCTCTATGCTGCTTGTCACAGACCAGGCAAAACCGAGAACTGATTGCACCTCATTCACACATGGCTTGCTCCCCGTTTAGTAGGAGCAGCATCTGCTCCATTTTTTTATGTTTAGAAGAGTGGTACAAGCATGTGCCTGCAAAGCTCGTCATTTTCCTCATCAGTGTTCTGATGAGATGTTGCAGTGTCTGTATACCTTTTAGAATAAAAGAAAAAAAGGAGCGCCCGCTGTCCAAAAGGATGCACTTTTGGTGGTATATTAAGAGGCATTTGTTGAGAGTAACGACAAGTACATCAAGCCAACACGTTTCGGGAGAAAAAAAACTCAACATGGGCCGGCCCATGTATATAAACGGCCAGACGGGAGCAGTGCAGGGGCAGGTGGCCATTTATAAACATACTCCCTGCTTGAGCACGCTTCCTAGGAGCACGTAGCACCGTGATCCGGTGGCCAAACACACAGCGGAACACCGATCATTGTACGGGACCTCTGTGTGAGGTCCCGATCATTTGATCGCTGATTGGCCAATCAGTGATCACATGAAGAGTAGTAAGCAAGATGTCACTTCTGACATCATTGCTTACTACGTGTGAAATCTGTGAATGATCAGAGATCACATGGTACAAGGCTTTTCTCAACAGCCTTGTACCATGTGACAAGCTGTGACCAATCATAGCTCACACAGTATTTCTCAATGGCTGCAAGAATGCAGCCAGAGATGAGGAGAAATTATTGCTTTTACAGCCTTTATGGGTGTAAAAGCAATCCGTGTAAAAAAAAAAAAAAAAAAAAAAAAAATCACCCCCACAAGTAGTACAGTGACACTATACTGCTAGGGTGACAGTATGTAAAAAAAAAAAAAAATAATAATAATAATTTTTGGTTATAAACTAATTTTGTTTTGTTTTTTTTACTAAAAAGATTACGTTAAAAAAGTTTGGCCAAGATTTATGAAGAAAGATTATTTGTTTGCAAAATTGTATAAGAACACTTTTTAAAAAAATATTTGGACTTTTTCATTTATATAGTAAAAAAAAAAAAAAAATCTCAGTGGTGAATAACTACCACCAAAATAAAGTTTTATCTGTCTCAAAAAAATGCTAAAAAATTCATATGGGTACAGTGTTGCATGACCGTGCAATTGTCATTCAAAGTGTGATAGCACTGAAAGCTGAAAATTGGCCTGGACAGGAAGGGGGTAAACAGTAATGTATATTTAAAAAGAAAAAAAATACATAGATCTCTCTATAAATTCTTTTTTAAATTAATAAAATATATATAAATCAAGAGTTCATGATCTAAATGATTCAGAATAGAAATAAAAATCAATAGTGATGGTAATAATAATAAATCCTTTAGAAGTATGTAATCCTTGGGTATCACCAAAACTGAAATTTATATTGCAGAGGGTGTCTAAAATTTGACTTGAATCTTAGTGCAGACATCTGGGAAAATCAGTGAGCCAGTCACATGGGCAGGAAATTATATTTCTAGGGGTGGTCCCTACACCAGTTGTGTACAGAACACCTCCAGGTTGCCATATTGCATTGAATTTTACAGAAAATTCCAGCAGCTGCTGATTAAAAAAGGATAATAATAAAAATGTTATTTGCTGCATTTTTCTTTTTCACAGAAGTGGAGTTAACCTTTTAACATTCCCCGAGGGATTAATCACCCCTATCAGACCATATACAGTCAGGTCCATAAATATTGGGACATGGACACAATTCTAACATTTTTGGCTCTATACACCACCACAATGGATTTGAAATGAAACAAACAAGATGTGCTTTAACTGCAGACTGTCAGCTTTAATTTGAGGGTATTTACATCCAAATCAGGTGAATGGTGTAGGAATTACAACAGTTTGCATATGTGCCTCCCACTTGTTAAGGGACCAAAAGTAATGGGACAGAATAATAATCATAAATCAAACTTTCACTTTTTAATACTTGGTTGCAAATCCTTTGCAGTCAATTACAGCCTGAAGTCTGGAACACATAGACATCACCAGACGCTGGGTTTCATCCCTGGTGATGCTCTGCCAGGCCTCTACTGCAACTGTCTTCTGTTCCTGCTTGTTCTTGGGGCATTTTCCCTTCAGTTTTGTCTTCAGCAAGTGAAATGCATGCTCAATCAGATTCAGGTCAGGTGCTTGACTTGGCCATTGCATAACATTCCACTTCTTTCCCTTAAAAAACTTATTGGTTGATTTTGCAGTCTGCTTTGGGTCATTGTCCATCTGCACTGTGAAGCTGCATCCAATGAGTTCTGAAGCATTTGGCTGAATATGAGCAGATAATATTGCCCGAAACACTTCAGAATTCATCCTGCTGCTTTTGTCAGCAGTCACATCATCAATAAATACAAGAGAACCAGTTCCATTGGCAGCCATACATGCCCACGCCATGACACTACCACCACCATGCTTCACTGATGTGGTGGTATGCTTAGGATCATGAGCAGTTCCTTTCCTTCTCCATACTCTTCTCTTCCCATCACTCTGGTACAAGTTGATCTTGGTCTCATCTGTCCATAGGATGTTGTTCCAGAACTGTGAAGGCTTTTTTAGATGTCGTTTGGCAAACTCTAATCTGGCCTTCCTGTTTTTGAAGCTCACCAATGGTTTCCATCTTGTGGTGAACCCTCTGTATTCACTCTGGTGAAGTCTTCTCTTGCTTGTTGACTTTGACACACATACACCTACCTCCTGGAGAGTGTTCTTGATCTGGCCAACTGTTGTGAAGGGTGTTTTCTTCACCAGGGAAAGAACTCTTCGGTCATCCACCACAGTTGTTTTCTGTGGTCTTCCTGGTCTTTTGGTGTTGCTGAGCTCACCGGTGCATTCCTTCTTTTTAAGAATGTTCCAAACAGTTGTTTTGGCCACGCCTAATGTTTTTGCTATCTCTCTGATGGGTTTGTTTTGTTTTTTTTAGCCTAATGATGGCTTGCTTCACTGATAGTGACAGCTCTTTGGGTCTCATCTTGAGAGTTGACAGCAACAGATTCCAAATGCAAATAGCACACTTGAAATGAGCTCTGGACCTTTTATCTGCTCATTGTAATTGGGATAATGAGGGAATAACACACACCTGGCC